AGGAAGCCGTTATGTTGAACAAATTAGAGGAAGAAACTCAAATGGATAAATAGTGAAAACAAAGAGTACAAAATCATTGAACAAGACAAGGAAGCTGTTGGTTCATTGACATCTTTACACCAAATGTCATAAATCTAACACCCACATCTTTACACCAAATGCCATAAATCTAACACCCAATCCCCTCAGCAGCCATGGTTTATTTCATATGGCAGGAAAAAGAGGGAAGAGTTTTAAAAATTATTCAAATTAAGTGATCGAAATCAAAACCGTGTCATAAACTAGTCAGTGGTACTGGAAACTGTATTATTTGTCCATCTATGATATACCCCCAATAACTTTGAAAATATCCATTTTCTTCCAAAAAGTATCAATTCCCTAAACACCAAAAAATTGAAGGCAAAGCAAGAATCCAAAAGCCAATAACCAAGTTTGACAAAATCCTTATCTCTACAAACATAAATCAAAGAACCTAAGGGTAGTAGCAAAGAGCGCAAAGGTTGAGACTTGAAACAGAGGACAGAGGGCTCCATAATTTTTTTTCAAACAAAGTAATTGCATTTTCCATACATAATTAAACAACACCCAATTGTCAATACATAAAACCCATAAATAAAAATATCAAAAGAAAATTCCTTACTATCAGTTGCCAGAAAGACGGTCTGTGGCGATCAACTCTCTAATCGGTACAGTCCCCGTCTGAAAGCGCTTTGTCCAGCTTAACGAATTGAAGGTCTGAGGGCGTAGCAAGTAATTCCGATGAAAGCCGGGATAAGACTACACTGGCGGACGATGATATTTCAGATGTTGATACTTCATCTGTGAAAAAGTTTTACAATGTTAGTCTATCTAACAATCCTGTGGTTTCCTTCCGTTTCTTCTTCATGGTGCAGTAAGAATATGGGAAAGGAAAAAAAAAGGAGCTAAAGAAAAAGAAAACAGAATATGCAATGTAGCTCATTTCCATTGTCTTATGTATCTTCAGCAACTACATAGCGATCAGAAAGGCGATTCCCTTGTCTCTTTTGAAATGCATTCTCAGCATAGGTAATGTTATCCAATTTATAACCGTTCCCTTTCCTCTTCATGATTTTGGGAATCAATTGAGTTACACTTTTGGCCTCTGACATTGCTTCCCCATTGTTTATCTGCTCAAAACAAACAACACTAACCTTTCAGGCATTTGCAACTAATACCAGCACCAGAGACAACATTTCACTCACATTAATCAGTTATTCAATTGGATGCTCAAGATTTAGTCTTATTAGCCTATATAGTTATCACATGTATAATTTATTTTCCAGAAAGAATGTTTAAACTTGAATGTATTTACACAAAAATGGAGCATATGAATTATTATTATCAGTTGCTAAGTTTAATTTAGCAGACTGAGCCACCAAATGAAGCATCTCATAGGATGAGCAATATAAAAGCAATATAATAGCATTGACTTCAGAAAGTTACACGTGAAAGAGACTGCATGATTGCCAGCTACATGCTTTTTCTTTCCTAGTGTTTTTTTCACTGAAATCCATTCAGTGCTTTCACCCTACCTCAAATCTATATATTTGATGCCTTCACATCTTGATGATTGGATCCATCTTCATCGTGCTTATCATCATCATCATCTTGATTATCCCTTTTGAGGACAACTTTGATGCTCTCACCAGCTCTAGGGATGCATCCAAATCCTTGGCATAAAAAACCAGATACTGTCTCAGACTGATGTCCCTATAGAACAGAATTTCCCACAATAGTCACAATAATCCCACAATAGTCACAATAAACAGAATTTCCCTTACAACTGAGATCAGAAATATTAAGTTTATAAGCGTGCCTATTTTTAAGATTCCTGTAATCAACTATGTGGCAGAAATCAAATTTTAATGAGCCTGTGGAAATGGCAGGAGAAGGGTACAATACAGAATAATCAAAGGTAGAAATGATCCTAACAACTGACTTTTTAGCTTTAAAGTTCAAATACTCCATTTGGTGCTCTATACACCACAATAATGAAAACCAGTAATAGGGTGGAATAAAAACCTCTGGCATTTTGATTTTCAAGTCCTCAGATGGTAAATAAATAGATGTATTGGCATCAACATCATATACTCCCTCTGCTCTCATTACAATATAGCCAATTTTCTTCTGGATCTCCTCCTGTTAATACAATTAGCAGCAAATGCATTTAATAAGTATCACTTGAGAATCATTATATATATATATATAAAACAAATCACTTAAGAATCAGGCAGAGCTCAACCTTGAATTGCTAATTGATATGAGACCTATAGTGTAAAGAAATATCTACATGAGGTGAAAAGTGACATGAAATTCTTTGGTCACATGGAAAATGCAGACAAAATACATGCCAGACTAACAGAGACCGGAAATTGGAAATAAAGCAGAATCTAGATCAATTGATATGTACAAAATTGGCAGCACATGTACAACGCCAATTTGTTTTGGACTTCATCAACAAGTTTTCTTAGCATCCCCTTGCTGAGGAATAATAGAATTCAATATCTAAAGTTATCTATTTAATTAAAAGACTTGCCTCCAATATCAGATTCAATAATAGAACATTAAGGTCATTAATGATGTCATTAGGCTTACCTTTGAATCATTTTCATCAAAGATTTCTCCAACAATCTCCTCAACCACATCTTCTAAGGTTACTATCTGCTGCATCAAAAATGAGTACATAAATATATAAAATCAATCAGTCAATAAAATGAGCACAAATACTGTTAAATAAGCAATCCAAAAGAGACAGAAAACCCATGCATGGTAAGTTCTAGACTTTGTGTTCTCATGCTGCATATTCCACTCTTATCTGAACTTTAGAAGAAAAATGATTTCAAAACATGAGAGAGCATTTGAGTTTCATCTACAGGGAACTCCTATTTATCTGCTTTACCATGTTGAACCTGAAATTAATGTTACGTGCCAAAGTTTTGAAGTTGTAAAATTTGAATAACAAACTAATACTAGGTGTAAGCTCACAAGTTAAGGTATTGAGGGGTCATACTAACCATTTTAGATTTTAAGTGGTCAGCTTATTATCCTGGTTCACCTTTTAACATCATACATTTCATTGAGTTTATGTTATGGCATTTGGATGCCAACAAACAATGAACAAATACTACCTTAAGTGGGCACAAAGAACATGCTGATAAGGAATAAGGTTTTGTCTTTAGGACTTCTAGCTCCAACTGAAAGAATTTTGTTTATTTTTTTAGCCTCTCAGCAGGGAAAGCATTGTCAGCATCTATCTCCAGAACAAAGTTCAAAATATCACAATTGTTGTCTCTTATTGTTTCAAGATATCACAAGTTAGCATAAGTTGACATGCGGCACAAAACAAAAATAAAGAAAATGGCAGAAGTTGGCACTTTATCATAAAAAAAAACCTCAACACAATGGATGATTCTGTTTAGGTGAAGTTTCAATACGAGGCTTTGCACAGACCCCAATAGTTCCACCATATTTATTAAGAACAATAGCCAAGTGAACCTTCTTGATCTGGAGCTCTCTAAGAAGATTCCAGACTGATATTGAATCTGCAAAACCAACTTTCTAAATTGTACTGTATAGATAGTTGAAGCATTTTATTTTTTCCATTTTCTTTTCCCCTAGACAATAACTACTAAAACAACAAATAAGTCTAATGAAACAAGGTCTTCTGCACTTCAATTTATTACAAAAATCAAAAAAGAAATGACATCTTCACGTAAAATGTGGATAATATGGTGAGAAAATGGGGTAATAGCAATTTAAAGAACATCACTAAAATATCAACTGGAGAAAAAAGTCAATGGGTACTAGGCACAAAGTAGGCAGGTTTGTGAGCCATGTCTCCCACGGTAGAACTTTCAAGTTGCTCACCCTTCACCGGTTCCCAAAAAAAGAAATAAAAATCAAAGTGATTACAAATCTGCACACTATGATATTGACATTGTTGCATATAGTTGATAAGAAAAGTTCTAATGATGGAAAAAAGGGTGTGTCAAAGGAAGAAATTGCCTGACCTTCCAAACAAAATCAAGTGGATCCGTTGCATATGCAATGCCAACTATATTGTCAACACACTGCTCAAAAACAGGTACCCTGTAAACAAAAATCTTTTAACAAGTTTCTTCAAGGATATTAAGCCTTAGAGATGAATTACCAATTCCCAACCTTGAATATTGGTGAGTCACGCACAGATGGTGAACTCAACAAGAGTTGCACTTGCATCAATTGCAACCACATCAACAAGGGGTGTCATGACCTCGCTAACACGAGTATCCTTTATCTCTAATACAATTTCAATCATATCCTGCAAGGAATTCATAAAATTAGAGCATCTGAACTGTAAACAAATAGACAGGCACCTGTTGGCAATAAAATTAATTTGGATTTCCTCTTGAATCTGACTATTTGAACAGAAATTGGTAGAGAACTATATGGCAAGAAAAAGATATGCTCTACTATAAATGCGCCACCAGAGTCAAGAATAGATGATACTGATCAATTTCATTTCAGTAAAAGAATTCAGAAACTGAAGAAACTTTCTAATTCTTACTTGCAACAAAAGAGACACTCAGGCAAGTACAATAAAGAAAAATTAGCTTATTTCACTACCTGCTCTTCCTCCTCTATTTCTCCACTCAACTCTGCTCCACGTAGCATCAGCTTTAATTCATCTTCAGTAACATAAGGTTCACTAATTTTAAGAGAAAACATGCAAAGCATTTGTAAAGCAGTCAATACAAACTTACACTAACAAACAACTGGAAACAAGAAATGCAACAGACGAAATGGAGGATATGATTTCCTTATTCCCATTGATAAATAAGTAACAATTCTTCCCACTAGATGTAGTATTAAGCAAAGCCATGCCACTGGCCTAACCCAATGACACAGCGAACGGCATTAGCTAAATAATTTTAGTTTGCTAGCAGTCATTAGCTAAGTAGAAAAGAGTTAAATAGCAACATAGACCATGGAGTATTAAACAGAAAGTTAAAGTTTTTTAGCAAAGTTTTAGTTGCAAGTTCAAGAAGAAAATGGAAACTTAAATGGAAAACTTACCACAAATCCTCTATGGTATTGTAAACAACTATACTTTTTGGAGTGATCTCAGTAAGAAGCAAAATAGCAGCCTAGGATCATTCAGAAAACTTTGTAACAGTGAATTATTTAACTTAAAGAGATTTCTTATTCATTCTTCCTTTATTGTTTACAAAGGAAGTACAAAACTTTGTAACAATGAACTCTACAACTCAGGAGCTAACTTAAAGAGATTTATCCTGAAACAAAAATAAGCCTTTTACTCTAATTTACTACAAATTCACAATGAGTTACATACAAGCACGAATAGAGGCAGACAAGGAGGTTGGGTATGTGGGACACATAAAGAGGATAGAATTTTTATATACAAACAGTTATCACTCCAGTTACTGCAGTAACACCAGTTTCTCCAAATATTGCTGTTGCTGTGTCTATAACTAAAGCAGTTGCTTCAATATTGACCACCCTAGTGACAAAAACAGAATCTAAAAATAAATCACGCACCAAAGTTAAACATAGAAACACAGAACTGGATCAGTTAAGTGATGATGGGAAAGACTAGTACGTAGTGGCAATAAGAACGGTGGTAAAAACTAGGTTACATCACTGTGAATCATTTGAAATACACCATCTTCAAACTCTTTTTCAGCCAGCTTACGAACCTGACACAAATTAGCATCAAATCACCAATTACACCAGTCTTGCTCTTCCATAAGTTAATATGAACCATATGAACATAGAAGAAACCAACATCATCCTCCAAACCAAACAAGACAACAGTAATACTGCTGCATGAACTTCACAATCAAGATTTGAAATAGCAGATCAGATTAATTTTTGCTAAACTTAACCCAATATTTAAGTCAGCAAATGCCATTGCACAACAACAACAAATTTCATATATTTACCTAAACCATAAAAGTTACTAAAACATTAACAATCAATAACTGTGAATGTTCTTCAACTTCATATATTTAACTTTTTCAACTTTGTTGACGTTTCCAAACCAAAACTCAGATTTCAATTGCTATTCACTAATTATAAGAACCATCAATCTTCAAACCAAGAAAGCAAACCTTTCATGGCAACAGTGTAGTTAGAGAAGTTTCTGCCATTGAGAAGAATGCAGATAGACTTAAAAGTGCAGTCAAAATCACACCTTGCTCTTTGAAAATCTTAAGAACCATAGAAACCTTAGGCCACGCATTCCTCAACAACAATGCCCACTGCTCAATCACTCCCTACCCTGCATTCATCACTCCCTCCACCGCAAGCACTCTCTTGCACGCCAAAACCAAAAGACAACAAAGCATTGCCCAAATAAAGACTCCTTGCTTCAGCAAAATCTTTAGAGACTTCAAATTCAGGCCTAAAACCTCACCTTGGTCACCACCCAGATCATTGTTTTCTTCACTTAACGATCTCAGATGAGCTCTACCGCCAACAAGGCCAGGTCTCCGCAATCTCAAACTGTAAATTCCACCAAAAATGGATCCAGAAATGAAGGAGGGTCGATTGATGATAGCGGATTTAGGTGCCATAACCCCCACAATAGTTATAGCTGAAGAAAAATGTTAAAAACTTAAAAAAAAAAAAAATTTGTTCCCCTTCCCAAAACCTTTTTTTATTTTTATTTTTATTTTTTCAAAAAAGGCTAAAAATTGTATTCCCTTTCCCAATCCTATTTCACCTTGTTTTTGTTGGAACTTGGAACTATGCATGCTAGGTGATAGAGTATTGATTAAAGAGGTGAAAGTGAGCTGAGTCTGTGAACTGTGATGCTGATAATGTCCATTCATCTCGCCGAAGGGTGGCTACTTCCATTGGGTTCTGTCTGTTGTTAAAAGCAAGGGACAAAGTTGGAGAGAGGGACTGAAGCCGAAATCATAGGACCTACCCTTCTTAATTTTACAATTACAGTTATATCCCTACAACGATAACCATCCCAAAATCCAGATTCCACAATTATGAAATGATTCCATCAAAACCCCGTCTCAAAATTCAAACTTCCCCTTCAGCCCGAAAATGTAAAGCAAAAATTTTTATGTCTATGCTAATGGGAATCTCAAAGAACAAAACTGTAAAGAATGAAACTTCAAATATTAATACAATAAAGAAAGATTAATACAGAAAGATTAATAGCTTAAACCTTCAAATATATTTTATAATAAAGAAAGACAAAATTACAAAGCATAATAAAGACAAGAGAAGGCTGATAATTTTAGACAAGCCAATGCTAGCCATAACAAGAACTTCAAACCTGAAAAGCACTTATTCAGGAAACATTAAATCAGAAGCTCCAAAACATCAACTCTTCTGGCTTTCCTTAGCTTCCTTCCACTTTGACTTGGTCGCCCATCAAACATAGACACAACCCATTTTGGTTTTCCTATTCGGAAGACAAGATATCCCATCAGCAGTCCAAAAACAACTCCACATCCATAGCCTAACACCACAACTCTCCAGCCAAATCTCCACAACTCATCTTTTTCTTGGAAGGAGCTCGGCGGTGTCCCAATTCCATCACAAGATTTTGACAATGGGATTCCACACAGTCCAAGGTTTCCTTCATAAGAATCATTTCCAAAGGTGTTGAATTGATTGCCTTGTGGTATGCGTCCGACGAGATGATTATTTGAAAGATTCAATACAACGAGTTGTGTCAAAGATACCAATTCATCGGGAATTTTCCCCGCCAGCTCGTTGGAAGAGAGATCCAACCATTCAAGATTCGTCAAACTCCCTAGCGACGGTGAGATATGACCAGTAAGGTTGTTATGAGAAAGATTAAGCCCTATGAGAAAACTAAGCTTTCCAATAACATCTGGAATTACTCCCTCAAACTTGTTTTTTGCGAGATGAATACTGCTAAGTGTGGTCAAGATTCCCTGCAGCTCATAGTTGAATCCCTTCCATGTCACAACCAGTGAATATAGATAAAAATTGTCTCTCGTTGGCGCCTTCATGTATTCAGGGGAACCATCCTCTCCATGAGAGTCCATCATCGCTTTAAAATTTTCAATGTACCAAACAGGCAAAGGACCAAGAAAATCATTGTTGGAGAGATCCAGAACTCGTAACCTGAGAAAAGATGGACTTTCTTTGGTGCTCTGCACAGAACCATGGAACTTGTTGGACCTTAAAACAAGCACTTGAAGGTCTGGTAGAGATTCCAACCATTGAGGGAATGTGCCCTCTATGTTGTTTTTGCCAACGTCCAGAACCTCTAACTTGCTACAATTCACCAAGGACCTTGGTAATGGCCCATCCATTTGATTTCCATGTAAGTTGAGATTTCGTAATCCACAGCCCTTTGGAAACCCAAATGATATATTTCCATCAAAGTAATTGGCCTGCAAATTCAACACCGAGAGAAACTTAGGAAGACAATTTGGAATCTTCCCGATTAAATTGTTATGAGAAAGGTCAAGAATTTGGAGATCATCCTTTTCACATATCCATTGGGGAATATTTCCATAAATGCTATTTTTGGACAGCACTAGGCTTTGCAGACCATTTGAATGTCTTATGAAATTGGGGAATTCACTCAAGTTACAAGAAGAAAAGGAAACATGAGTTAGTTTGGGTAATGTGAAGTTGGCATTGACATTCATTCTCAAGGACAGATTATTGTCTGAAAGAAAGATGGTTTCCAGATTTTGAAGAGCCGAGAACATGTCAGCTTCTACTAAATCACTAAAATGATTTGATGATAAATCAAGATAACTAAGATTTACTAAATTAGCAATTGAGTTAGGAATTGCGCCCTGGAGTTTGTTGTTTGACAAATCTAGGTGTGTGAGTGAGTTTTGCCGGAATTGATTTATTTGACCTTGAAATTGGTTATGACTAAGATACAAGTACTCTAACAAAGGTAGGGTGAAAATCCAAGGTGGCAACGTGCCATTAAGTAAGTTAGAAGAAAGGGAGAGATAGCGAAGTTTTGTGAGGTTTGCAAGTGATGGTCGGATTTGTCCGCTAAGATAGTTAGAAGAGAGGTCTAGGCTAGTAAGTTGAGGTAAGTTCCTTATGGAAGCTGGAATGGAACCTTCCAAGTGGCAGCCAAGACTCAGAGACCGTAATGACTTTAGATCTCCTATAGACTCTGGCAATCGTCTTCCGCAATCCGAGACATCTAAATACAAATCTTGGAGAGAACTGTTCCAATTGGAACTTGGAAGATCAATAGTGAGGTTTCGCTTTCCACTTAAATAAAAATTCTTGAGATTTGGAAACCAGAAAATACTGTTTGGAAAGTTTCCTCTTAACACACTCTTGGAAAGATCAAGAGTAGTCAATGAAGAAGAGAGATTCATGAAGAGACGAGGATTAATAGATATCATGTTCACTCCACTAAGCTTAAGTTCTCTCACCTCACTCAAGTTATGAACAAGATTTTTGAAGGTAGTTGTTTCAAGAATCAAGTCAAAAGAATTGTAATAACTAGAGAGCTTGAGAGAAACTAACTTGGGGAGGTGAGCAATTTCTCCCGGAGCTTGGCCCGAAAATTGAGAAAAAGAGACATCAAGATGCTTTAGTCTAGTAAACTGACTGATTTCCGATGGAATCTTGGAATGCCTAAAATCATTAAAGGCAAGATTGAGGCTCTGCAGGTTTCTGAGGAAGAAAAGAGTGCTGTTGGAAGGAAAGGTGCCATAAAGGAAACTGCAGCTGAGATTAAGGGCAATTACATGGCCTGTGACATTATCACAGCTAACCCCATCCCAGGAACAACAGTCTATACCTTCCTTCCATGATTCAGTCTTAAAAGAAGGTTTGGTATAATAATATTTACATAAATAAGGATCAGAAGCAGTGTAATTGATGGAGAAGGATGTCTTGAATTGCAGCAAAGCAAGAGCCTCCTCATGAGAGCAGAGATGCGTTGTTGAGAAGGAAGAAGCATTTATAGAGGATGAGAAGGCAGTTTTAAGACAGAGGAAGACAAAAAGGAAGCAGAGTGGTGCAGAGAGCTTTGTGAAGATCCTCATATCTTTGTTTGGCGCAGTAAAGTACTCAAGAGGAATATATATAGAGTGTTTAAAATTGAGGGATCTAAAACAAAAATAAATGAATATAGAAAGTAATATTGACGCAGCGGTGGATGCCATTTTTTAATCTATTTTTTATTTATTTATTTATTATTTTAAAAGTAGATGGAGTAATTAAATATTATAATCACATTATTAACAAGCCTTTAAATAATAGTTTAAATCTCAATAAAAAAATTGTTATCTTTGT